CGTTCAATTGTGAGCAGCGAATCCAAACACATAAAACAACCAACGATACAGACAAAACGGTTGCTACGACTACCATGACAAACTCGCTCTGTAACATAGCTCGATCCGAGTGGTAGAAGGATAATGATATATTGTTTGCCTGCTTTGTTGCAATATACACGGATGAGGACAAAGCTTGATATGAATCGAGAAAAGACATAACAAAAAAATTCCCATTAACACACGTGTATCATCTTCGGGTTTACTTCGTGAAGCAGCTTGCCAACAATTTGCTCGTTTCCTTCTACCGCCCCGAGTGAGTTGTGCCGCACGGGCTGCTTGTCATGAAAAAGAACGAAGAAGATTATATCATTATTGCTTTCCACTTCTGACATAGCGTTATTATTCGGTTCGTTGATCGCTTGTCATTTTGTCATTTGGAGATATTTTTGATTCCTTGATTGTGAGAGTATGCGTAGTGTAAAATGAAGACCGCACTGGGGAAGCATATTCTAAGATACTACGAACCAGCGAGCAGAATAGTATCTTGAGACAATACACATCGGTGAAACAAGAAGCATGACGACGACAAACCAAGCACAGTGTATGCTTTAGTAGTTATGATGCTTATGTGTTCACAAATCGTTAACCTGGAATCGATCGTAACGCCTACTTGCCTGCGATGACGGTTTGGAAGACACCTTCTACATTCTCATACACAGCAGGTCCGGGATGGCTGCTGATCGCTGACGGGAGGCACTCGAATGTGCTGAGAGGATTAGGGGCTGGATCTGGACTGGATTTGGAGTATTCAACGAATTTCATAGCGCCTCATATCAACTGCAAAAACCCTGTTCCGTTTACGTTGCGAAACTAGCAGCCATATTCTACGCAGTAAAGCAAATTGCCTCACTACCCTCTGATCACATTTTCATTTTTAAGGATAGCCTTAGCTCGGTGGAGGCTATTCGTTCAATGAGGCCGATGAAGCACTCCTAGTATTTCCTGACCGAAATCCGAGCCAAATTGAATACTGTATCTTACTGCTTCTATACCATCACTTTAGTATGTGTCCCATCTCATTGCTTTATTCAGGGTAACGAGAAAACGGACTCGCTAGCTAAGGTGGGCGCTGCAAGGCGATATTTTTGATCGACAAATCGCCTTTGCTGATTTTTTTTTCTCAATTACCCGTCAGCAATTCCTCATTAACTGGCAACAAACATGGAATGAGAGTGATCTGGGAAGATGGTTACACTCTATTCTCCCACATGTGTCAAACAAGCCGTGGTTCAAAGTCTTGGACATGAGCCGTGACTTTATACGTGTCGATCTTGTTTTCCGTGCTGAGCACCAATGCTACCGACGCCAGAGAGGCAGCTCCCATACCTGGACCACGAGATAGCCACGAGTAATCAGCCCCCGCTTTACTAACGTTAGTTTTAAGTTAGTTTTGTAATCTAAACAACGAATATCGGCTCCGCAACGCTACGGTAAATGAGCATGGAGAAATAAACGCATTATATAAAAATAATAAGGGTATTCACTATGCGCATCGTAAACATATACACTATCGTAAAATTACCAGGGTCCATTGGAGTGTAATGGAAGTTTACGCATTTACGAGGATGTATACGTTTACGATGCGCTTTGTGAATACCCTTAATAAAAAATAAACCCTCCCTAACTCGGTATTAAAAGGACCATCGAGTTAGGAAAACACCAAGCTACGAAGTTAAATTTTGGAAATTTGTTTGAGTAAAGTGGTCGATGTAGCCTGGATTTCCAACGAGTTAGGGATAATATCGAAATAAGGTGAGATCGAGTAAGGGATAATTGACTGATATAATTTATTTAATTCTAGGCATCAGTATCAGAAGATGCTGCTGTAAAAATGATATTTTATAGGCCAAATCCTTGTTAAAACTTATCCTTAGCCTGTAAATCACATTAAACTCTACTACCTACTCAAGAATAGAATAAAACGAAAATTTAAAAAAATATATTTAATTTTTCGTACTGTTTATTCTAACAATATTTATTAAAGTTGGCCACATCTTGCTGGACCTTATTAATGAATCATTGCAAACTGGACTTGTGCCATAAATTTGGAAGGAATCCCTAGTAGTCCCTTATCAAACAGTTGCTGGAACGATTAAAGCCGAAGAGTTTCGTCACGTCAACATGTTGCAACTCTTTGTTGATACCAGAACAATCGGGATATCGGGAAGGTCATTCTTGTGAAAACGCGTTGAATTTGGTATTAGCGAAGTGGAAAAATAGCTTGGAGTGTAAAGATACGATTGTTGCTGTTTTTTTGGATCTTAAACGCGCTTTTGAAACAATTTCTAGACCCTTATTGTTAAGATCAATCAAGCGCTTTGGAATTACGAGTACTGCATATAAATGGTTTGAAAGCTATTCGTCTGACAGAACTCAACGGACTGTTTTTAATGATTCTGTTTCCAGTCCTGTGGGGAATAACCTTGGAGTGCCCCAGGTAAGTGTATTAGAGCCCCTGCTATTTATTATGTATATTAATGACTTGCGACGTGTTTAACGATTTTGCGACATTAATCTTTTTGCAGATGATACTGTGTTATCTCACACTTGAATGAAGATTTGCAGTATCTAAGTATATGGTTGAAGTATAAGCAGTTGTAATTGAATACAAGTAAAACTAAATTTATGGTAATTTCGCGGAATCGAGTAAATGAGAACGTCTCTGTTGTAATTGATGATGAGACTATTGATCACGTTCGGGAGATTAAATATCTTGGTGTGATTATTGATGACACACTTAAGTTCAACTAGCCTAGTCAGTAAAGGCACGGTATTACCAAGCCGGAGGCGGCGGGTTCGATTCCCGGTCCGGTTGAGGGAATCTTTCGGGTTGGAAATTTTCTCGACTTCCCTGGGCATAGAGTATCATTGTGCTTGCCGCACAATATACAAATTCATGCATTGGTATTGGCATCGAAAGCTCTCAATTAATAACTGTGGAAGTGCATTTAGAACACTAAGTTAAGAGCACGCAATAAGCTAATATGCGGTAAGCAATAAGCTTGAAATGTGAATAAGAAGAAGAAGTTAAGTTCAACTCTCACATTAACAATGTCATGAGCAATTGCCAAGAAGTATGGAATTCTATGTCGACTGAAAAACGATTTAACTATTGTCAGTAAAATACAGCGATACAAATCAATCATCTTTCCTCATCTTGACTTTTGCCCTTCCATTTTATTTCTTATTTGATACTAGACGCCTTACAATGGTTGTCGGTGAAGCAAAGCATTGTATATTTGACTATGGTGTTCATTTTTAAAATAGTTAACGGTTTGCTGCCTCGATATATGTGTGATCGAATTGAAAGAAGAAGTGACTTTCATAGATATAATACTAGAAACGCGGTTGAAATAAGAACACCACATTTCTTGACTTGTGCTTCACAAAATTCATTATATTATAAAGGAATAAATGTTTTCAATTCGATGCCTAGACATATCAAACGTTCAGCAACACTTACAGAATTTAAAAGACACTGCATTTCACACGTTAAAACTGTCTTTTGAACAGTTATCCAGTGATTTTTTTTATGAATTGACAAATTATGTATCTTGACGAAGTTATCTCTAACGGATTATTTTATATGGATAGCTGTTATAATGACTTTTGAATAATTATTGTAGCCCTGTAAAAGCTATTTTTCTTCGCCACGATAATGATGATGGATTTTTAATATTTGATTTAACAGTAGTAGATCCAAAAAAAGTAGTCTACAAAGGTTTGAGCCTCGCGCGCATATTACGGATATAGAGGAGTGAATTTAAAATTAAAAAAAAAATGCAATTTTGAAGCTTATTTGGAAGATACTTTGAGTTAGTAGTAAGTTTTCTGGAAAATGTTGGGGGTTTGTGAGCATTCCTGACATTGCTGAACATTATGATAGCATCCGATTGCGGGGTTGCTAGTGTAATAGGATGCTTTGTTGATTGTTCATTAACTCTTGATTGTTTGCAATACTTATGAATATTTTAGATGGATAAAAATGCGAACTAAGGGGTGGACGCCTGAGCTTTTCCACATTTGTATCGCTGTGAAGCAACTGTAAACTCTAAAGGAAATTTATATCTGTAACTGAAACCAGTTCGATTTTGTTTCCTAAATGTCATATTTAGTTATCTTAAAAATAAATCGTCCAGCTCAAACCTTTGTAGGGGTAAGAAGTGAGACCATCATCATCATTTTTTATCTTTAACACCCTTAATCAAAGATGAATTAAATTGATTATAAACTATTATAAAATGATTATTGTGAATAAAAGCATGCGTAGTGAAACGCTTAACTTTTACATTTTACTTCGTCATCCAAATCAAAACCTACCACCAGCTCAGTCAAACTACACAAACTCTTCTCAATTCATTGCCGCTTTCTTCGCTATGAAACGCCACATACTACGATCCGAACCTTCCATTCAACAGCATGAGGGGTTTCCCATACGTGCCAACACATTTCCACCGCACCAGTTTTCCGATGTTGTTTAATCTAGCTAATTAATATAATGAAGTTTACGCCGATTGCTCATACGAGGTGTGCAGTCAAGTGATTGGCAGAGCTCATCTTGGAAGTTAGACATTCATTGGAAATGCGAGGATGCGACTGTGACATGCTGTGACTCGTTTTCCGTAATCATACCAGGAAGCAATCCACTCACGATGTAATTTTACAACGTTCAAGTTTCAAAGCTATGTGTATAGTTAGCCTGTACGATACCGTTGCAACTGTGATGAGCAATCAATCTCCAGGGCGAGAGGGTTACAATGGCACGTGTGTACAACACAGATTTTCAATTAACATTGATTGAGATGGAAGAGTTTCCAAGGCCCAAGGGTACGTACACACATAGCGCAGAACATGAAATCAGATATCATTGGTAGCGGAAAAGTTGCTCTTTCGCATGGTAACCACCACTAAGGACTAATGAGGATGATGCTAAGGAGAAAAGGGAAATAATATCTCACCTGTATTGGTACCACCGGTGAAGATCCAAGCACCGGTTGTTTTGGCTGCCTTGAGCAATCCCTTCCTTAGCACCTGTTGAGTAAATTAGAAGCTGGCGCTTTCGTTCGTGTAACACAATGTTGAAGGTGAGACGTACCTTCTTCAGCTTCGGTTGCAGCTCGAAGTTTGCCTTGCCTCCCTGGACGGTGATGAGCAGCTTTGGAAGCTCGAGATTCCACTCGCGGGTAAAAAGCTGAACCAGCAGCTCCGGTCGGGTGTCGTACGATAGTCGCACGTACTGCAAGGAGGAAACCATGCATGAGTTGATTAATACACTTGCCGGTTAAAACCGATTAATGGCATTTCTGAAGATGTGAAAATTGTGTTACAATCAATAAGTTTCCAATTTTACTCTTTTCCAGAGATTCCACACGTTTTCTCCCATACTTTCTACAGAAAGTGATTAAATTTTTAACAGAATGTTACCTCCAACCTACACTGAAAAAAGAAGCACTTTTGCAACGAGTTCTTAAACAAATTGATGTGCTTATTGCCTAACAGCGCCGGCAAGTCGTTGAAAAAAAAAAGGTTCAAATTTGTCTAGGATGCTAAATACTTTATCTTCGCTATGCGCTCTTTGAACGGAATTTAATAACAGGAGAGAAACAGCTTTTCTATAGTCCATGCTTCAGTAGTACGTCACAAAAAAAAATCTCCTTTAAAAAGGGAAGCTGAAAAGGCAAGACCCTGTACTATCCCAACGCAAAGAGAATCGTTTGAAATCAACAAGTGCCTGTTCTGAAATATGTAGCCCACTTATCGCATTTATGCTCGGTCAGAACCTATTGTTCGCTGTTTTCCGGCTCTTTTCCTCGCATGACTAAGCTGGAATTGTTCCCCATCGTATTTTCCGATCGAATTCATCTGGATTGTTCCTGCCCGAGGATGGACCTCACCTTCTCACCCAGTCCGGTGTGAAGCTGACAATGATTTGACTTTCAAAAAAAAAAAAATAAGGCGCAAACCAAACGAGACATTCTATCCATTTTCCCGCAAACCGACCGCAAACCTCAAAGGAAATGACTGTGTCCCACACGATTGCTGTACCAGGTAAGTACCCACCTGAGCTTTGGTTGGATGTGCTCCGCCTTGAAATTCGATCGTCCCGTAGGCATCGGTCGGCTGAGGCCTGGTATGCTTTTGCGGTTGCCAGATATCGCCCAAGAGGCCCGGTTCGATTCCCGGCACCATTTGGTGAGTTCTCCTTTCCTGACCGCAGCAACATCTATAGAAGAGAAGAAAAAATCGGAAAACCAAATTACTCGTATGACCTCTGCCAGCGTCAAATATGGGAGAGCATGAGTATGTGCAAGCTCATAATAATTTCATTACAATATTAGATTGCCAATAAAGGAATACTTTGTGTAAATAGACCATGGTGGCGGCAAAGTATGCCAAACCTTCGCCAGTCCCCGGTTGGCAATCAATCGGTGCTCTAGGATGAAGAAAATGTGCAAAGGAAACAGGATGCTGATGGGATATACAGTAATAGCGACATTTCTTAGTACCGAGCACAGCACACAGGCTGCAACGCTCTACTCTGTTCGGTGGAATCAACTTTCTAGGTTAGGTCTTTGTTCTGTGAAATATATGCTTTGCTAGATTGAATTTCATCACATTACAGTCATAAAATTTCCAATTTTAGGATGGCACCATTTTATGTTGTGGACATTGAAACCCCACATTCAGTGGAAGATTCGTTTGGCAGCTATAGGGCCGTTCATAAACTACGTAGACCAAAATTTTATACTTTTTAACCCCTCCTTCCCTCCCTCGTAGACTTAAGAAAAAAAAAAAAAAAAACGGTTTTCGCGCTTACATAAGTCCGAGTCTGTCTGCGCACAGCTGATCATGGTTGCCGCCAGTCAGTGTTGCCAACGGGTCGATTGGGTCGAAATGTGCAGTCCCAGGTATTCCAGTTTGTTTCGCTGCCACTCGTCAACCAATACATACATATGTACCTCTTATATACTTCAACCAAGGGGATTCCGATCATGGTTCAATTATACGTTACACCGTACACATCACTCTGGCACCACCTAGAGAGTCGATATCACGAATATACGGGTATGAAAATTTTGATCATCTGAACACCCCTCAAATCGCGATCTGGCATTGGTGCTAGGGAAATGCGGTGATGTGAAGCGTGTAATTCGGGAGAAATTTCCTACTGCCTTGGGTCTAGATATGATGACAGGTATTCACGGGGTCTATATACAGCCATTCCATAGCAAAACGATATAGTGGTTCTCAGATTTTTTAAAATTGTCAGTTTTGTTCCTTATTGCAAAATATTGGAGTCATATTTCTTTGTCATAGAGGTGACCATTTCCATGTTACGGTGGTCCAAAAAATCGTTTTTTTTTTCAAAAATTACTTTTTACCAAATTTTATAACTTTTGAATCACTGGGATGATTTCAAAGATCAAAATATCAAATGAAAGGTTATTAAAAGTTTTTTTTTTTAAATATAATTATATTAATAAAATTTAGATTTTGTATTGAAAAAACATTGATTATAAATGTTTTTTAATGGTTTTCATATTGTGGCGAAATAGATTTTTTTTTATTTTGCTCCTTGAAATTTTAGGCTTTTTCAAACATTAGGGGAAATGGCTCTAATGTTGGCCTATGGATCTAAGATTGGGCCCCTTCGCTAACAATCTGCTATTTATCAATTTTATCTAGATGAACGCGTAATTGGGACGGTACTTATGAATATTTTTAGTCACTATTGAAAATTTACTCGATTGCGACATTACATCCATTTCACCTATATCACAAAATCAGCTATGTGTTTTTTTTTTTCGTTTTTGAATTATATTTTTTTGAAGTTACCAGTATCAAGTTATGGGTTTTCGCTCGATACTCCTATGCGACTATGCAACCATGCGTCTCCATCGATTTATAGCGACTGTAACATGGTCATGACGCATGGTAGTCTAGTCGCATAGAAATTTTGAGCGAAAACCCAAAACTTGATATCTTTAAAATAATAAAACCACGTTGTAAATTTAGCACAGAAAATTGACAAACAATTGTAGAACAAGATGTCATGGCATGGATCACGTGTTCTTTGAAAGTGTCGCTTGAGGACATTTTTCAGACGAATCAAGAGCTGAAGATCCTATCATGTTAAAAAATGATTACAAATAAGTAACCATGAAGTTACATATCATGTCAACATCAACTTACTCCATGACCTTCCAACTAGAATAAACCTAAGATCATCTTCGTATCCTCGATCTGTTTGTCTACTTTCGCACACCGACCCGCTTTCTGTTGGGTTTACGACTTGATCTTCTAAACCCGAGGTTTCCCATGTGTCTTCAAATGCGACTGCAAATTGTCCTTGTGGTGGAACTTTTCTATTAGTTTGAGAGAAATCGACGATGGAAGTCTTATTGATCCATAAGACATTCAGCCGGCATTCTCGAAACCTGCACCATTTTAACGAAGGCGAAACTTGAAAAGGATTTCCCTCAAAACCCCTCGCTCGTATAGTTCAGTAGACTTTTATAAAACCCTGTAGAGTTCTGCCAGTTAAATAAGTTTGAAATGAATTCATAATATAGAGTGGAAAATTAAACTTTTTCAATTTAGGAATCAAACCTTCATGTAAAACACTGTCGAATGATTTTTCTATGTCTAGAAGAGCAACTCCAGTTGAGTGGCCTTCAGATTTGTTTGAACGAATAAAATTGGTATTTCTTATGAGTTGATCAGTAGTTTAATGCACATGGCGAAATCCAAACTGCTCATCTGCAAAAATTGAGTTCGTATTGATGTAAAGCATCAATCTATTCAAAATTAGCATTTCAAAAAGTTTACTTACTGAAGAAAGCCAACGTATTTCCGGGTAGCTAGAAGCTTCAGCTGGATTTATATTCGGTTTCAAAATTGGTACAACTTTGCAGTTTTGCATTTATCGGGAAAGTATGTCAAATGGAAACATCTGTTTAATAAGTTTACCAAGAAACATAAAGTATTCTCTGGGAGTTTTTTGATGAGAATATTTTATATTTATATATTCCATCATCACCTGGAGCTTTCATACTTTGAAACTTTTTAATTATAAAGTTATGTAGGGACCCGGCCATTATTCCATAGCAACTCGAACCCAATCCACTCGGACAGACAGAATCAACCAACAAGTAAACAGCTTACGCAGCGCAGCATTTTCGGCACCTAGCTCACCCGAATAATTGCATCAGCCAACCACAAGGCGAGTTAGTATTTATTAATTTATTTATTTATTTATTTCGTCAAGCAAAGTAGACTACATACAATGGTTACAATGTTTTACTTACATACTAAACATTATTTTTATTATGTTTTAGTTGGGTTTTTAATTTCTTCATTTGACAAAGTGATTCTAATGACTTCACAGTGTAGATTATACTGTCGCATCATTTGATTGAAGGGGCCATTTTTGTGTGATTTTTCTGAGAATAATTTTCGTGTTCTTAGATGCCGACAGGGTGCGTAGAAGTTTAATTGTGAAAGTATTTCTGATGATTGTATGCGATGTGAAATAATGTCATTGATGAAGAAAGGCATTGAAAATTAGCTGCCTTCTTTGAATGTTTGTAAGGTGATGAGCATACAGCGTGCTTCATATGATGGAAGAGGAAATGCGGTCCAATTCAATTTCCGAAGGGCATACTAAAGGAATTGTTTTTGGACGGATTCTATGCGTTCCTCGTGTATGGCAATGTACGGATTCTATACTAGGTTACAGTATTCCAGAATAGGTCTTACGTATGTAATATATAATAATTTGATAGTGTATGGGTCTTGAAAATAATAGCTGAAACCCAACATACTATTTGCTTTCGTTATGATTGTATTATAATGTTCTACAAAAGTGAGTTTGGAGTCTGGGATCACACCTAGGTCCCTTACAAATTTACATTTTTCTACTTTTTAATTGCCTAAAAATATTTCAAAAAGAGGTGTTTCTATTTTTCTGCTAAATACAATTGTGTTGCATTTTTTTTTACATTGAGTTGGAGTAGACTTTTGCTACACCAAGTGTTGAATAAGCTGATTTCATTCTGAAATTCTTATGTCCATGAAGAGCTTCATGTCGTCTGCATATATAAGAACTTTTATTTTTTTAAGTATGTAGGAAATGTCGTTTACGTACAAAATAAAAAAATTGGACCTAAATGAGAACCCTGGGACACCCCAGAGGTGACCGAAGTTGGTTTTGAAAGTTTATTCTGAAAACAAACTATTTGTTTACGTTGCGTTAAGTATGATTGGAGCCAATTCAGAAGTCTACATTCCATTCCTATTTTTGCAGTTTAAAGAGTAATAATGGTATGTCGATTCGGTCAAATGCTTTACTGAAGTCAGTATAAAGAGCTTTTGGGATGCAAGAGATAATGGCAATTCCACGATAATTACGCATGTCATATTGACCAAATGAGACGATTTCCAAATTTCAGGGAAATTTCCATTTTTCAGAGACATATTGAAAAGGCGTTCTAAAGTCAGTAACCGAGTGCAGTTCGGGAATAAAATCGACAATCAAAATCCTTTTCTAAAAAGTGTCTAATGAAAATTCCAACATAAATATAGATATTACTTTGTCTAAATCAGTCTCCCAAGAATCATAAAAAGAATTTTCCGTGAAAAGATATTCAGATAATCCCGAGCAACCTGATTCTCAATAGGACTAGTAAGACCCAAACTGATATTAAGGGAACTCTCGAATTGCTTAGCAAGCTTCTGAGTTTTTTTTCCGAATTTGTGATCAACATCAACGCTAGAATAGGTTTTGAGATTTTTAAAGATTTTTGTGAGTTTCCAAAAGAGTGAGGAACTCGGGTCGATACATTGTTCCGCAGGGCAGAGAATCGTTTTTCAATTTGCTTTTGCAAATCCCGCCAGATAACTTTCATGGGAGGATCACGCTCTTATATTGCCTTCTACGGACATTTTTCGGAAGGATAAAGAGCTGATCATCATCGTCTAATTTAAAAGAATTTAACCTCGTATTTTGGTACTGAGGCAGCTCTTGCTGCAACTATATGTAGATTCAAGAGCATTATGCATTTCAGTCTACAAGGTGCAGCATAGCACTGATGTGCAAGCAGGCATTTGCACTTACCTGAGCATTCACTCTATGTTCACGCATGCACTCAGGCAAATGAACTTGCACCCCAGCATGAGTGCAATGTTTACGTTCGAACATCACTTGCTTCAGCGTTTGAAAAA